TCTTTGAATCTTTTAATTGAATCTCCTGATCTCATTAAATACAGCATTCGCACATATACAGACTCTGTTTAAACACCACTGTATGTTTTTAAACTAATAAACATAACCTGAGTGCAATCATTAAAAGTAGCCTCATGAACTCCAAAAACATCCAAAAACAATGTAATTAGACGGCTAAAGTAGAAATATTAGTCATGTAAGTAAGAACAAACTTCATTGATTAAATGTTGTTTGGTTGCAGTAAAACCTCATTTAAATCAGGTTTTGGTTAAGTGTCAGCACAAACTAAACAAAGATAATCAGAGAATAACAATTGAAAGTAGGACGGATATAACTAGCCTATTTATAAAGACAGAAAAAAGGATTTCATACAAAAGATGTCAACTTTAAGTAAATGAGTGTGAGATGTGTAAGTGAAACCGGCTTATCTGTTAAACTACTAAAAAAGGACGTTTTTCAGCTCCACGCAGCAGCCAGACATTCACTGTAAATTCAGATTCTGTACATTTTGTCCAGCATTTCCCTCAGTAGAGTCCAGAGTGTTGTATTAAGACAGGGCTCACACAGAGGGAAGTTGTTCACACAGAACACACGCAGAGCTTGTGGGCTCAGTTGGGGCATTTTGTCAGAGAAGATGTGTGGGAGCTGTGCAGCCACAGACTACGGTGGCTGGGAAGCGCAAAAAATACAATGGATAACGTTTTTACATTTTAGAAAATAAAATGACATAAGCAAAACACTTTTACCAGGGACAAAACTCATTTTCATTTCAGAAAACTGTCCACCGTTCAACCAAGTCAGTGTCTCTGTTTCAAACTGATGAGCAACAAAGACTAAGAATTCAACATAATGCAGTAGAAAATAAAGTATTCCAAACAAACAATCTCATCAATGTGATGTGATCAATGATTTCTCTGAAGCTACAAATTGACCATTAGTAACACATACTGAATGCTGCTTTAAAAGCTGCTCCTGTCTGTGAAGAACTTTCATGTTCTCCCTGTGATTGCATGGGTTTCCAGGGGCTCCAGTTTCCTCCCACAAACCAAAAACATTTAGGTGAACTGGAGACTCGAAATTGGCCAAAGTATAACATTTAATTTAGAAAACATTTTTAATCAAAAACAAATTTTACAGATTTTCTTATTCCCTTGTTTTTGTTTAATGAAGCTGACAGGAATGGTGAGTTCACTTACAACATAACAGAAATAAAAACCATTAACATGGTGCTGGACAAAATGTTTGTATAAGTAAACAATGAGGTTTTTTGTTTGCTTGTTTATTTCTGTTGGGTAATACAAATGAACGTCAACACTTTGCACCATTTGAGTTCTATAAAATAGAAGATAAAGATGAGAAATAATGAGGATTAGAAAATTTGCTTTACATACATGAAGGTTTTTTCTTTTCCATTTAAAGTTAATACATGGGACTTTGCAACAATGGTCGAGTGGGGTGAACAAGCTGACAGAATAAACACCATGCTTTATCCAAAGAGGGTTTCAAACTGAAAGTCAAAAAATAAATCAATGCAGGAAAAAGACTGAAGAAGCTAGTCTGCAGGTATAAGGAGCATACAGTAACACCTAATAAGTCCTGATATATATAAACATTACATGACAGCTTACAGACAGCTAGCCTATTCCAGATTTCACTAAAAGCGACGACGCCCCTTAATTTAAAATTCACTCAAAGGAAGTGTTGTGTTTTTAATTTTTTCCTTGTTAGTTACCACATGGTTAATTTTTCAGTCTGCTGCTGCTGTGGTGTAACAGAAATCCCTCAAGGTGGCACTGTTTCCGTTCAACTTAATCTGTCTGTGAGGCAATAGCAGCATCAGTGGACCATTTAATCACTCATCGAACAAGTTGAACCCATTCTGCTTCAGACAGTTACTATTACTATCCACAGATACTCAACACTATTCATTCAAAAAGTGTGTTAAACGTGGCATAACTACATTTTAAGAATCAGGAGTGTGAGACTAGAAGTGGAGACTGCAGGTGTATTGCAGGTGTAGTCAAGCTAGTCTATTAGCTATATTACTTGAACTGTCTGAAATTTGATACTGTGAGAGCGACAGTAGCTACATTGCATATAGCATAAGTCAGTATATATGGAAGCCCTTCCATTCGAATTTGTAGTCATTGTTTGAAATGATTGATCTTATATAGCCTTGAAGTTGTTCCACATGGTCGTTATTGAGCCATATCCTCCTGAGGTTCCTGGAAATGACCCTGGATGGCATGAACTACCCATATCTGTCATGATAGTGTATGCAATTTATTGTGGACAAAGCACAAAAACCCTGGCTAATTTATGAATCAGTAATAATAATCTATATAACATGATGATGACTTTATTGAGGCTAAGGGTCATTCTCGAGGAATTTACAGATTACATATGTTAAATAGGCTACAAGCTGCTGAAAATATGTGTGTACTTTCAGTTAAAAATAGAATAGTTAAGATTGTGACTACAAGATTTTTAGAAATGGAACACTTTCAAACTGACTGTGGTGATGCTTTTGTTTCTCTTTTCACAGATCTAAACACTTCTGATCAAAAATAAAATTCTTTAACTCGCTCAAAGCAACATTATGCAAGTTTGACCTCTTGGTAATCAATAGGCGTGTCTGCTGATTATAATATTTCCTGCTGGCTAAGTAAAACATTATCTCTTTCATTTCAGAGAGGTTTTTTAAATAGGCTCACATAAAGGTCAGAAAGCATGAGACTAAGAAAAATAAATTGAGCAAATAATTGTTAGACCATTTTTAAATACAATATTTATCCAAAAGTTATGTTTTGGAGGGCTGAAATTGCTAGCATGGTACTTAAGCCCCAGATTAAACCTAGAAGAAATTAAGAAATCTGTGCTTATCTTAAGGTGGATTTTGCAAAGTACCTTATAAAATAAAATAATATTCATGTGAGAGTTTACAAACATTGCTGCTCTACAAAGCCAAAGTGCAGTATCTGCAAAAATGCCAAACTGAAAAAAACAGCTTTTTGTGTTTTTTGTTTGCCAAGCGTAAGTATCAAATTAAATTTAACAACCAGTTATGTGATTGATTAGTGATTTTTTTTTTTTTTTTTAAAGATTTATTTTTGGGCTTTTTTTGCCTTTAATGTAGAGCTAGGACAGCGGACAGAGCTGGAAATCAGGGAGAGAGAGCGGGGAACGACATGCTGGAAAGGAGCCACAAGCTGGACTCGAACCCGGGTCGCCCGCCCCGAGGACCACAGTCTCCACACATGGGGCGCACGCACCAACCACTGCGCCCCCAAGTGAAGTGAATGTTAAGCACATTGTAATTTGACTTTCAGATTAACCATTTCAGTTTTACGGTTAAAACTGCACTTTGCTTTTGTTTTACTGCTGAATAATAATATGGCCAAACACTGATGGGCTGCAGTAACTAACAATTGTTAATGGGTTTTAATGTAATTGAGTAGACAAACAAGATGTATATTATTTTCCACTCATTTGTTTTGTTTCCTATTTTATTTAAGTATTTTATAGATCAGATTAAAATGTAATTTCATGTTATAAACAAAATCTTACAGGCCTGTATGTTTGGGTATGTGAGCAACTATTTCTAGGAACTGAACAATTGATTAAAATCAATTAATTAACACTGAATGCAACACATGAATGCATTGACGAGACACATGTGACACACATTTAATTTTCTAACAGTTTTATCAGCCTGGGCATCAATTACCAAAATGTACTCCATGGGAGATATAAACATAACCTTTGCATCTTTTTGAGACTTCAAAAGTACTCAATAAACGGAAACCATCACTGTTCTCTCTTTTTCACATGCAGCAGTCGTTGGATACAAAAATTACTTTAAGATCTGTAGTTTTTTTTTCAGCTCAGGTACTTTTGGCTTGTAACATAGCAGTGATTGAATCGTAAAACATGTAGTATCAAAAATAACTGAAGTATTTTCATATCTTTGCTTTACATATCTCCCTTTTCTGCATATTTTTACCCATTACGAGTGCTGTAAGTAACCTCTCGGTTCTGATAAAATTGAGTGTGTTTACATTGAGTGTCCTGGTTATGAGCCTTATCCTGATTGGTCCTAAAACAAAGGCAAACTGCAGTATCTGACACATCCTTCATGGTGAAACCAAGGCAAACTGCAGTCAGTGTCACTTACTGCAGTTTGCTTTGGTTTCACAGTGTGTTTTACAGATACTGCGTAACTAAAACACCCAATATCTTTGGGAAATAAAGCAGTAGAACTATGAAACTCTCACAGGTTGAAGAGCAGATTCTGCACTTACGATTTGTGCAAAAAAAGTGAATTTCACAAAAAGTACAGATACTGCACTTTGGCTTTGTAGGGCAGGTTGCCTAAGCCAGCAAATGCAATCTGCAACAAGTAGGCCACTTATAGTGAACATGGTGAGTCATTACACAAGACAAGAAAATGTCCCTGGTGAACTTAAGAAAGGATCAAATGACAGTGGTTAACATAGGTCAAAGGATTCTATGGGCCATGTCTGGACATCTAATATATCTCGTGAAGAGTAGGCCAAACTAAACAGGCCACATTCTGTCATATGTGACGCAGCAGGGCAGCTGACAGCCCAACAACCCCGGATTCTTAGAAAAAAGACACGGGAAAACAGCAGGTGGACACGTAGTTTGTTGTTACATTATTGATACAGGTGTAATTTATAGCTTGACAGCCACTCGTTGGTGGTGACCAATCCCCATGATTGTTATACGAATGTTGTGATATAAATGTATAGCTGCAGGGTAAACAAAAGAGCACGAAGGAGGATACGCAAGAAAAGATAATTGAAAGCCCACAAAAGCCATCGTTTTATAATAAATGCATTTAGTGTAGGTACTATTCGGTAGGCACTCTTGGACCAATCGAATTCAACCTTGGGCGTTTTGTTGCCGACTTTACGTCTCCTATTGGTGCTTTGGGCGGTCGTGGGCGGGTCTTAACGACTGACTTACCAAAACAAGCCGGGTGCGTGCGCCGACACGATCATTGGAGCAAAGGAAAAGTCATTGGAGTCCAAAAGCCAGAAGAAGAAAGTAAATGGACCGACCGACAACGAAGAATTTAAGCAAACAACAGAGAGACAGCTGGGGCGTCAGGTAGGGAACTTTTACAGATGTTATTAAAGCTTAAATGTGTGTGAAGTGAATGTTTTCATCAAATGAAAGCTGATTTCAGTGATAGAAAAGCCCATCCTTGTCAAGTCTATAGTGGGTATTATCTGTGACTGTGTTTTCCATGGTGGTCTTTGAGTTGCAGCTTCCAAAAGATCAATTCATAAACTTTTTTTTTTTTGGGGGGGGGGGGGGGGGGGGGGGGGGATACTGAAGCAACACAGAAAACTTTCTAATAAAAAGCAGGTTAGAAAACAACATTTAGGAGAGGTTACAAGGTCAAAACGCATTAAAAGAAAAAACAGGATGAGAGCTAAAGCTGCAAAACTAGTCTTATTATTAGAAACTACTTTAAATTCACTCAACAGCCCTGTATCACAGAAACAGCTGCAAGTGTCCATTGTAAGCTTCACAGATCTGGCATTTATGACAGGAAGTTAATTTGAAAGCCAACTTGTCTCCCAGGTCACTCAAAGCATCAGCTGGTGTTTGTTTACCCCAGGACTGCAAGAAATAGGCAGGTGGGCATTTAACCATTTGTCTTACACCAATCTTTAATGCATGGTTCATACTGAAGATATGGCGTTTTGGCTCACTTAAGTGACTTTATAAAGTTTAGTAATAACTGTATATTTTTAGGTGTTACACAGGAGGTTAAGCATGCATTTTGACAAAAAATAATTGTATGAGCATGTTTAGGTACAGAGTGGTGGATGGTTTCATGGTAATTCTGTAGAAATAGTGCTTTGTCTTTGAATTTGTTGGTTTGTCTATTTTACCGAAAGGTGGTTGACGATGCACCCCGACAGTGAGACCAGGAAGATGGCTTCTTACCTCCCAGCTAACCCCTCGCCTGGGACCCAGAAACTGGCCCCAGCAAAAGGACCAGGTACTAAGTGACACATTTCATCACTTACAGGTTAAAGCAAGACGGGTGTCAGAGTTATTTTAGGAGCGTACATGTAATTATAACCTCAGTAAGGGTGTACATGCCTAATTCAGTGACACCTACAGCGTACATTCCCTGGCATCCATCCCTCCCTACACAGCTGTATCTGCCATCAGACTTGTCAGTGAGTAATGTGATCCTGAATAACAGATACAAGAAATATGTAACTCATGCTCATGTAAAAAGTCTTGCTCGGCACTTTTCTCAGGAACATTTTTCAGATAACTCAGTGAACTTGCTTATGTTTAAATTTCCAAGAACATACCTATTGTGCTCAAAAAAAAACACCACGTGTTTTTTTTTGCTGAATTGACTGGTTTCTCAATAGCTGATTAATGATGAAGCCAAAAGTTATTTATGACTGTAATTAGGGCGCCCTGACCTTGCTATCTAATAACTAAAACTGTGACGCTCCCTCATCACAAACTTCCTGCTTGTCAACCGGAATAAATTCCATTCACCTTTTGATTTGATTCGAGCTGTGATCTGAGTTCAGCTTCCATAGAAACACATTAAAGCTGTTGCCTCTCAGGGAAAATGTATTCTCCATGAAAGCTGGAGGAAAAACAGCCCCCCTGTCTTGAAATCTGGACCTTTCTGCACGAGTGTGACAGTTTTTTTTTTGGCATCTACGATTGAAGTCAGACTTTGATCAGAAGCACTGCCGCTGAAGTGTGATGACTTGCTTCCTTAACGCGATACATGAAAATCAAAAAGTGGTGTGAGACACCTTGTTTTTAACACCCTGAATCTACTTGAATTAAACTTTAGTGATGCATCAACGGGGACCTCTTAAATCTGACTAGTTAAAGAGAACCATAGAACATATCTCAATAGCAACAGCTTATGCAATGGGTAATGCAAAAAAAAGCTTTTGTGTGTTTGAAGGTACATGTGAATGGAACTGAAAGAATACAGACTGCAGCTGTAAATGGATGTGTTCAAACTTACAGGACGGAATAGGATCATCACCTATTCATGACATAGAAGTGTATCTACAAGGCCATTACACAGTAGCAGACAGACTTATTCAAAGAAGGTACTGTCTAAAGTAGGAAGTATTACTATCCCTTTATTAGATGATGTCACTTAAAGGAGAAAGATTGAGAGGGATGCAGTGTCATGGAATAAAGACTTTATAGAACCCTGCAGTTTGAAGCTGCTTCTGTTTCTCTGTTGTATAATGATAATTACATTAGAAAAAAAAGTCTCACTAATTTGGTGATTAGGCAAATTGATCCATTAGAGTATAAAGCATTTGAGTGTAAAGCAGATTTTCAATCAGGAGTAAGCAGGTAATAACAAGAACAATGACAGTGCTGGGCCCTTATTAAAGGAAGTTAAATACAACAGAGATGTGATCTGCAAAGGACAAAGACTATAATAGTTCTTGTTTTTCTGCACTATTTTGCGGTCGGGACATGTATGTTTCAGGACAAAACCCACAACATGTTGTTAAAAAGTTTCCTTTTCAATTCTGTGTACATGTATCAGTGTGTACTTGCATGTTTGTTCAGTTGTTATGATACCTGAGGATAAAAACCTCTCATGTGTGTAGCACATTCAAACATTGACTTATAAGACCCCTTCAGCATTCTTCATTTGAACCTCCGACCTCTAATCAGTACACAGTCAGCATTGTTAGAAGACACTGGCATCATCATCACTGTAAGGGACTTTTTTTTTTTTGTTTTCTTGCCCCATGGAATAACCATTTTTCCATGTAATGTGTTTTTTTCCCCAACATCCAGACGTCGATGAAGTCGGGGTTTTTTTGATCTTGTATTTGTAGTTCCTCCTTTAATTATATTTTTAATTTCTCCGTTAACTCGTTCATTTTCTTGACCGGGGTTTGTTACCTGAGTGTCCATTCTATGACTTGAGATGGATACAATAAAATGAAGTTTTTCATTTTTGCATTTACTACCTATCGCTGCCCGACAACCCTAACACCAGTGTCATATTCATGTTCTAACTGACAGCATGAACAGCACAAAAGGTCAACCTTCTTTAAAACAATTGAATATTAACAAGAAGACAACACTAGTTTAATCACCAGAGGGGGAAGATGTTTGTCTAGTTGGCCTAAGTCCAGAGAGGTCATGGTGTAGGATCAGTTAAATAACATAAAGAATGCTGCTTAGTGTGTGGGAAGTCCACTGTCTCACTCACGGGGTAGATGCTCTCTGACATGGGGCTTTAAACAAACCATCTCTCATGACTTCAAACTACCCAATAAGCAGGTTAAGATCCAAAACATGAGTGTAAAGTGTCTAAAAATGCACCAGGCTGTAAACTTACACAATCAACAAGAACCTTTTTCAGGGTTGGAAATTGTTTTGATAAAATAGATTTGTAATCTGTCACCAGAGTCTAATCCCTCGATGTGGTGGTTTTTCGTAGAAATACAATACCTGTGTTTGGCCCAGTACCATGTCACTCTTATCCCTGAGTATTACAATCGTTTTTCTGAAATCATGTGTATGATCAGATTATGTTTGGACTGATGCAGTTAGGTGCAAAGGCTCCAAATGCTGAGTGAGCAATTTGACAGCAACATGTGAAATCCTGTTAGCACTGAGGGAGCAATATGTGTGACCAGTTTAGCTTTGTATTTGTTAATGTATACAACTAAAGTAACATATCAACAAATGTGGCTCAATAAATTGCAGTTTCCTCTTCATTGTGATTCAAACATTAATTAGGATTAATTAACTAACCCTAACCCAAACCTCCTAACAAAAGGCGGCTTGAAGGAGAAAACATTGAAGTAGACACACCATGCACTCTACAATAATTATTATAATAATTAAAATAATAATCCCATTACAAAGCACCTTTCAAAGTGCCACACAGGCAGATATTAAATTACAGGGAGTGAGAAAACAAAGAAACAAGCGGACCAAAGGCAGTTATAGTGCAATATAAGAACATGTCCAGCAATGATTTCAAAGTGGACCCAGACTTGTCTAAGATCCTCTGGGAGATAGTTGCAAAGAGCCCTGAACAACAAGGGCTTGATTACCTTGAGTCACAAGCCGAGATTCAGGAAAGTTCCTCGAGGATCTAATAAACAGGGCTCATGTTCGTAAAACATTAAAAGATCTCAAATGTAAGGTGGTGCCTTACCATGTAAGGCTTTATAAACAAGCAATCAAATCGTAAAATCTATTCTACAACTCACCGTTAACCATTGACGGTCGTCATGAACTGGAGTCATGTTCTCACTTCTGCTCGAGTTGGTTAAAAACCAAGCACCAACATTTTGGACTTCCTAAAGTTATGCTTAGTTATATTCATAGTTATACTTTCTTTACGGATACCTGAAGTGTTTTACAGTAATCAAGTCTGCAGGGCATGAATACGTGAATTACCTTATCATCAAGGGAGAGAAAGAGTCAAATCTAAACATGTTATCTTCACAAAATTGAACAATGTTATGCTATATCATGTTTTCATCTTATTGTAGAGGTCTATTAGAAACCCAAAGGACTTCTGACAGCAAAACCAGAAACTTGTTTTGATTCTGATTATCTTACAGTATACTGTCTGTCCTTATCTCTAGGCTGCAGCTGGCTGGTGGTGGTGGCGGCTGTAGCGGCCTCTCTCAGCGGTCTGATGCTGGGCTATGAAATGGGTCTGACCTCTGGAGTCCTCTTGCAGCTGCGGGGCCTCCTCTCCCTCTCCTGCCGGGAACAAGAACTGCTGGTCAGCTCCCACCTGCTCGGCGCTCTCCTCATCTGCCTGGCCGGAGGTCCTATTCTCGATCGCTACGGCCGCCGCTGGTCGTTGCTTCTGAGCGCCGCCCTGGTAGTCGGAGGAACAGTTGTGCTCATCGCCCTCACCTCACTTTATTCACTGACTCTTGGCAGGGTGATCGTTGGCATGGGGACAAGTCTGTCAGGGACAGGAGCATGTCTGTACATTGCGGAGATTTCGCCGAGGGAGAGGCGGGGTCTGCTGGTGACGCTGTACGAGCTCATGCTGGTTGTGGGTGTCATGCTGGGGTTTAGCTGTAGTTATGCCTTTGCTACTCTTACTCAGGGCTGGGTGTACACGTTTGGACTTGTAATCCCTCCCGCACTCCTGCAGTTCAGCGTACTTTTGTTCCTCCCTCCAAGCCCCCGATTCCTTGTGGCGCAGGGAAAAGTGGAGCAAGCCAGGAAAGTGCTGACCAGAATGAGGGGTGGGGTTCAGGAGCATGTGGAAGTGGAACTTAGAGACATTCAGGTGGGGCTTAAAGAAGAATCAGACCATAGTTTCCGGGAGTTGTTCAGTTCTAAGGCTAACTTGCGTTCTCGGCTGCTAACAGGTGTAGCCTTAGTTTTCCTTCAGCAGGCTACAGGTCAGCCCAACATCCTGTCCTACGCTTCCCCTCTCCTCCGCAGTGTCGGCTACAACAGCGACGCGGCGGCGACATTAGCATCCACCGGGTTCGGAGTGGTCAAAGTAGTCGGCACCATCCCAGCCGTGCTGCTGGTCGACCGTGTGGGACCCAAGAGCTTTTTGTGCGTGGGTGCTGTTGCAATGGGAATGTCTTTAGTTGCTCTTGGTATATTGACTCTGCAAAGTAACACTCACCTCACCAGCCTGTGTACAAGTCAGACTTTACTAAACCACACACATTCCCCATGGGATTTAAACAGAACCTCGATAGACCTGGACGAAAGTGACTTTTTCCCCACTGACCTCCCCACCCAATGGAACAGTGAGGAGGCACAGGGGGCGAGCAGAGATGTCGACGGGATTAGCGAGAAAGAAGGAGGAAGGACACATGTAGAAGTTTCTTCCTCACTGAAAGTGGCGTCTTTGATCAGCTTGCTGGTGTATGTAGCAGCCTTCTCCATAAGCCTCGGCCCAAGTATGTATGTCATGTACTTTTCTTCAACCACTCCCTTTGCATGCACACAAATTAAAAATAAGCAAAGGAGTGGCTGATGACACCACGCCTTCTCTGCTGGTTCTGCATACAAAACATACATAGTCAATGGTGATTACACGTTTTTATCTGGTTCTAATGGCTGCAGCATTCAACACATTTTACATAAAGGACAAAGTACAAACATTTATCATACAATAACTAGGTGTAGGTGAAGTATAGACTGAAAAGTCTCCTCAGATAAAGCAGCGAGGACCCTGACTTTAAAGGTTCAAGCCTCTCCTACAACTTTACCCACAAAAATGTTCACAAATTAAAATCATAAAAGACTCTTCTGAACGGTATTTGATGTCTGCATGTCTTATTAACGCTCGCCTCCCTTCGCAGTGGTGTATGTGGTTCTCAGCGAGATCTTTCCGATGGGAGTGAGAGGCCGTGCTGTGTCTGTGGTGTCGGCAGTAAACTGGGCCACCAACCTGCTCATCTCCATGACATTCCTCACAGTAACAGGTTTGTGTTGGGTGTGTGTATTGGTAACACTTGATTAACGTGTTGGAGTAAGCTTATTGATGAACTATCAGTTTTTTGGAAACTCATTTGGAAACCCATTCAGGGGACAATAGATGAATTTTATAGAGTAAGTTTTGTTTATGTAATTTAAAAAAGAGGAACTATAATAGGATTTGACCTTTTATTTTGAAAATATCAGTTTGGCCAATACGTTAATGGGCAGATATCAGTCGGTGCATCTTAAACTAGACAGTATGGAGATGTTTTCACTATCCATTAATGACATTGAATGGACTTATTTTGAATTATATTAGTATATAAACATATTGATAGTTATGCCCCTATAGACAGAGATTTAAAGCTCAACATATATAACTTGTTTACTTACTTTCACCCTGTCTCTGTTTTGAAGTCAAAACTGTTTGCCGACATCTACTGTAACCAGCTAGTCACTATTTAGGTCACCTTTTGCAGCTCAAGAAAAAGCTTTAAGTGTCATGCCCTAAATTGCATAGTTTACTAATCAGTACATGTAAGCTAAATCACAGCAAGCTGCTATTATATACATCATACCGATTGATCAGTTTCAATCATCACTTGTCATTTTAACTTGCCACTCACTTCACAGAATGTCTTTAATAGTCCTGGATAGTTCACTCTCTTATTTTATTTGTATTTATCTTATCTATTCTGTTTCCATTTTTATTTTGTACTACCTACTTGCTACTTGTCTTTGTGCTGCTGCTGCAACACCCGAATTCCCCCCTCTGGGGTTAAACAAAATAGTATCTTATCTAACAAACATGTAGGTTAACACACACACACACAACTATGCTGACTGACTGAGGTTACTTGCAGGAATGAGTGAACACGTATTTCTCCGGTCTTGTTTTTCTAGAAAGGATCGGCGTGCATATTGTCATGTTCCTCTACGCTGCCATGAGCTTTGTTCTGCTGGTGTTCGTCATCCTCTGTATCCCCGAGACCAAAGGTCGTACGCTGGAGGAGATATCTAAAGAACTGGCCAAGAAGTGAGAGGCAGCAGTACACATCACCTTAATGTTTACTTTACTAGTTTACTACTGGTTTTTTTTTTATCCTGTTTTACCCGTCTTTGTTTATTTACCAGGAAGCACTTTGAGGTCAAACTGTATCGGCAGGTTCAGCCGAAGGAAAGCCTGACCAGCAAGAGCAGCGTGTCCAAAGAGATTCCAGTAAATGTCTGACCCCTCCAAACACACGACAACTGTACACCTCAGCCCGATGAGCAGGGATCAACTAGGACAATAACTTTAAAGCTGTTAAAAGTGCTCACCTTTAATTCCTACAATGATGCAAGGGTCAGAGCTAAATACAGCTAAATACTGCATGAATAGGAAATCAACAGGGATGGTGATATTATACTTCAAAGATGGAGTAATGCAGAAGTATTTTTGAATTGGCTCAAGGTCAACAATGGGGATGTGATATCTGAATGAAAAAGAAATATATTATATAAAGTTCTTTTTATGCCTATCTTCCTAACTTAAGAATACAGAGCCAACAATGAAAACAGTTACGTTTTCCCTTTACCACGTCAGTCTTAAAGTTTCCAATTCCAGAAGACATTGTATTGACATTTATTTGACTATGACTATTTATATATCAATGAAAATCAAAGACGTGACAATCACAGAGATGTATCACTTCAAAAACTGCAACAGTGTTTGCTTGGTTGCAAAATAACTTGTCAACCATTTAATATTGTATAAGCTTCCTCCTGTCAAACACAAACAAGGTTCAAACCAGTCACACCAGTTCAGCTACACTGTGATCCAAACATGGACTGTCACTATGTCCCTGTCTTTAGAAAGGCCCAGTGTCTCCCCCTTCACATTTTATGGGAACATGCAATCAAGAAAATATAAAATCATCAGCTGCAGAATCCTCTACTGATCCAACCAAAACAGTAACTACTTACTGTATGCCAGTGTTCCTAGAGGTAACGTTTGGTGGATAATACAACGACTGGTACAGTTGTAGTATCACAAGTGCGAAAGAGAGAGAATGTGTTTTTGTATGTCAGTGATGATGTAATTGTACTTTAGTATTTGATTAACTTGTGTAATGTTTAACTGCAAAAAGACTTGACCTGTGTTTTGATTAAAACTACAAACTTCTTAATCTGTTCTTTGAAACACATCCTTTTCTTTGTATGTAGTAGTTTATATGTGAACACTCACTCACACTCACAGAGCAAGGGAGAAAATGATGAGAAATAAGAGTGCAACACACTGAACAGTCGTCCTGTTGTGGCCTGTTTAATCATTTATTTTTATACAAAATACAAAATCCTGCACAAATGTCACAAATCTTTAATTCACACTGGATCACACAGTCCATCCCACAGTTCTGAAATGACGTCAAAGTTTTGGCCGACACCTTTTCCATCCGATGCTTTCACTATATACAAATAACATACACATCAACTGCCTCTCAGTAGGATCCCATTTCAAAACACTTCACCATTCGTTGTGTTTTTTTTCTTGTTCCAATCCACAGACGGTTGGTTATTCAGAGAGTTCAGGGTTAATGGTGTGAGCATGACCTTTTTGAGCGCTTTCTTATATCGTTTTAAGAATGTGTATGATTTCATCTCCAAATCTCGACATGGGACAGTGATAGAAAAATATCTGCTCAACACCTTTGTATAAGTGGATGCTTTTGTTACAGTGACTTCTTCATGACACATTCTGAAAACTTGTACCTTTACAGTTATCTCCGAGACCAACTGCAGACTTTAAAGTGAATCTGCCTGATGATTAGCTTTTTCTTAAACAGCTTGATTCTCTGTGTGCCACTGGACTGGGACTTACTAGTGGCTGTGTTGTAGTAACAGCATTCAGGGGTTTATGGTTAAAAAAAACAACATGTTCCTGACTTCTTCAAACCTTTTCTTGACAGTCTAAAACATTTAAAATATATCTTTGTTGTGTTCCTTTAAGAGAGATTAGCAGCCTATATTAACATTTTCAAGTTTGCCTTGTGTGTGAAATATCATAGACGGCAGAGAATTAAAAACATATAATGTGTGCATTATGATCGGATGCTGAAGTTTGAAACAAACAAGATTAAATGTATGCAGAACTGTCGACCACAAAAAGTACAAAAAATAGTTAAAAATAGTTAAATTAGACGTCCATGTGTTTGGTGAGCAGATGTGTGATCTGCATATGGATCAGCTCGCCCTCTGTGGAACAATCCAGACTCAGACTATGCTTTGACTGCCGTACGGACAGAAATATTCATAACATTGAATGCCTTGGATATGCTTTAACACCTAAAAAACAAGCCATGGACGGAGATTTTTTCCAGAGAAAGTGGAGAAATGGGACGTCTTGTAATGGTATATGGAGGGTTAAAGGTGAGGCTTCTCAGTGTAAGCATACAGACTCCTTGCAATGGAGATCGGTGAAAACGTGTCTTTCAGTGGCCATGCAATAACACAGACATCAAATGACTTTCAGTATGAGTCTGATACTGATCACTTTCCCCCAAAGGTTTTTTTGAAAAGCGGCAGGCTGAGGCCTTTTGAGTCTCAAGAGCCACACATTCCAGGACAGGACCAACTTTAAGTAAGAGGGACAATTTAAGTCTCCAACCGGGGTTGTTGATTATTTAAAAATAAGTCCAGTCGACATCCAGTCCTCTGATCTTGTTTGACGTTTAGGGATGTTGCCACGTAGAGTTTCAAATCAAGCAAATAAATGAGAGGATTGGGTGCTTCTTCACTTCCTTTCTTTCATGTCTTTCTGTCTTTGACCTTTTGTTTTATTTGCAGAGGGGTCTCTTACACTCGAACAGTAGTGGGTAGACCTGCTCCACAGCTGTGGCCACAGTCTGCACATTTGGTCCTGACCAATGAGATGGATGGAGGGGGGGGGGGGTGAGCATGAGAACAAGTTTTGAGTAATTAAACAGAAAATGCAATAAGCCTCAATTACACAGAAATAGGGAATAGCTGCTACCATTACCACAAAGAAGGAGGGAAGGGCTGACAAAACAAAGTAAGTTCTTCTCAGGTCATGTTTGGCTTATTGCGTGACATTCAAAGAATTTCACCCTGAGTAAAATTCCTTCAGGATTTGGGTTTTTTACAAACCGCTTTTCTGGTTATAACAAGCTAAAAGAGTACATTATGTCAATCTGGCCTCAATCCTTTAAGCTGGCGAGGCCAGCCGTGTATGTAAAGGAGGCCGCAAGATGTAAGTGTTTGTGCGTGTGTGTGTGTGAGGTACCTGTTACTGTGATGCTGCCAGTAGAGAACACCTGTATAGTAGCCTTGATGCTTTTGATCCTGTACGTGGCAGCAGGATGGAGCTCTGGTTCATAACTGATAAAAACCCCAAATAGACATAGTTACAAACTGTTCATGAAGGCTTTAAAAACATGTTCATGTGCAGCATGTGTTGTCATATAAACACCTGAATCAGAGGCTGAAAACACACCAATACATTCTCTGTGCCAGCTTTACACATAGATGTACCACACGCTAACCTCAGTGCTCCCACCACTAGAGGTCACCCTGTCCTCGCAAATGTTCAATTCAATTCAATTCAAAGGCACACAGAGCAGTAAATTAACAACAGCGCAAGTAAACAAAACATTTTAACCTAAATATAAAGTGTCAATTTAAATACAACTTAAAGCTTAAACTTAACTTAAAAATACAAAATATAAAAGAGTAGATGTAAGTGGACAGTGATCGGACTAACAGATGTAACCATAACTATGTGCAGTAGTGACCAGATGTAAACAGAACTATATGCAGTAAATGAGAAATAAATATATATCTACAGAACTATGTCCAAGAAGGCAAATATTAAATAAGTTAATAAGGTGCATGGTGAATAATGGAACAACAGAACTAATATATACAATATAACTGTAAAGGTAAAAATGAGATAATGTTGAATCACTAATAGTATATATTATACTAACAGATAAAACTTGTATAATAATGGGTATTTCTTATATGTGCAAAAGGTCAAATCAAACAATAATAACACTTAAGAGGTAATTATGATATTAGTCTGATCCCTAATGGAATCAAACTTTACAACCTCATAAAACAAGAGATTCTGGACTGAAAGGAAGAAAAATCTAAAACATTAATACGAAGTAGTTCTTAATTCAGAACAGGATTCAGATGATTTGAATTAGAGTGACGATAGTGATCGTGATGCACGGCACTTTACTACCTGGCAATAGGTCGGTTTTTCTTAGTGAAGTCTATAAGGTGGATTGCAAACGGCATGGAGCACACTGCCAGCACGTTCACGACTTTGAAGGCTGAAAACCTCACCTAAAAAGATACAAAACACACACATGCACAGACACGTTTGGAAATGTATTTATATGTTTAAAGGTGACCTGTACTTGTGAGGCGTTAAGTGCAGGTAAATATCCCTGCATGTTAGCTTAATCTCTTTGCTAACCCAAGGTATTACAAGAGTCCAATACAAATTTCCCCATGGGGACAATAAAGTGTGACATATTGAAAGTCTTCAGTGAAGTGTTTTAAGGCCTATCCCTCTCTGGCACAAATATACATCTAATATTCCGATATTCAGGCACATTAACCTAAACTGTGACAATAATGATGGGATTGAAAAGCACATATTTTAAATCTATTGGTTTTAACATGCTACAACTCTAGAGTCATTTACAAAGCAATTAGTCTATTTGATTTTTTAACATTTCAAAATTATTTCTGTGATACTTGAGAATCTAAACTAGCATGCACACCTTGAGGATTAGCCAGAGAATATACAATGCAGAATCATGAACAGATATTTTGATACACTCTGCACCTGCTTTGAAATGTTCTGCACAGTTGTGATGTTAATGTTACTGCATGCAAAAAATAAAGACCTGTCGAGCAACGGCGGAGGGATTATTCTCACCTTGAAGCCCAGTTTCTGCAGACAGCGCGCTAACCTGCGAGCACCCCGCTTCGCATCATCCTCACTGAATAAAAGGAGAGCAGGAGTGAGTGACAGCGCAACAGATAGAGGAACTGTAGGTTCAGGGCACCAACAAAGTCAGCACTATGCAGAACTCAAAATGTAGCAGGTGTTAGAAATGGTAATGGGGCTGCATTATTGGCAGGGATCTTTCACAAACATCAGCTGAAAGTGAAATTACTGCACCTACAATAATGAGGCCAGACAGCTCAGGACATACTCAGCCATTACTTCTCTCACCACTGGAAAATCAATGACCTTATGTCAACCAGCATGGCCATTTATTATGTGCACTTAGTTTTTTGCATACAGTCAGCTTTGTTCAAGTGTGTGTTAGTGTTTCTTACACAGTGGGTCTATACCTTGTTGCTCCAGTGCAGATGATTTTCCCTGAGGACCAGATTGATGCTGTTATCTTGGGTTTACGAAGCTTCATCAGAACTTTCTATACAAGAGAATAAAAGTGATCCAAATTTAAATTTGCCAACTGCCCACATCACACACCGTTTTTAATGCAGCAATACTGTACACAAATTAAGCAAAGGTGTGTTGCTTATGATCTTGACACGAAGAAAGTAGTTCCCCCTGCAGCAACCTTTGCAGTCTCACGTACCCCTACTTCCGGCTTATAGATGACATTGATTCCCTCTAAGGCAATGGTGCGTAGGTTGAGGTGGCACCTGGTCCTGAAGGTTGCCACCACATTGGTGATAATGATATCAAGTGCATCATCATTGCTGGAATCCATGAGGAAGTGTGCAGTGCGGCAAGAGGACCACCGGCGCTTTCTCCTCACACATGGATCATCAATGCCACCATCACCAACATGTAAGGGCTGGACGAGGACACAACTAGGCAAAAAAAAAGGAAACAATGTATTTAGAAAGTTGCAAATAAGAATCCTTGCTTGAATCTTAATCGTGTCTTTAATGCTTTTATGACTGTTTTCATGAGTAACTATAATGTAGATTTTGCACAATCAGCTTGCATATAGAGACAATCCCACTTGTAAATACTGTTGATAAAATGATAAATAATAAAAAAAAGTTTAACTTGTTACCTTAGTAGCAGCACCAATACATCTGATTTAATCTATACATCTGTTTCCCTTCCACTTGAGATACAGAAGTACGATTTAAAACACGAACTACACAGTCATCTGAA